TTAACAATTTGAAAGGTTAGTTAAGGAGTTCGGTGAACTTTATCAAACGAACTTTAATGCATGTTTTCACCTTGTAATAACTTGCGACAGTTGAGTCTATTAGGGTGCTAAAACGTAGATGGTTAGCTACGTCACGACAATGGGATGACCTTAAATCAGTGCTTTGTGTTCTAGACAGTTCATAATTCCTAAATCCCTAAAATCAATCAATTTTTATTGTTGCATGATTCTCTGCGAATTACCTAAGTCCTAACGCTTTTGTTTTATTAATTTTCATTACAATTTACATTCGTTGCTTACTTTATTCTCAATCACAAAAACGACAAAAATATCTTGTTGTAGTTTAGTTTTATTCATTACAATTTGAAGTGTGGTTAAGAAGTCCTTGTGGATACGATCCCTTATCTATACTAATTGTGATTACTGTGCACTTGCAGGTAGTTAGTTGAGAGGTAAAACTCGACAACACATCAACTCTCCTTCATGTGAATCCAGAAAAATATCCGTTGAGATGATATAAATATCTTTATTAACTTTAGTAATTAATTCTAATAATTTAATAGCTAATTCCTATGTAAACTAATTCAACAAATTACAATTAAGTGTTTTGTGTATATTTATGTAATTCTTATGTAAATTACTATATTTTAATGTAAATTTAGTATAGAAAATATATATTTTATTTATCAAATGCAAAAATATTCTATACAATTTTTTTATTTTTTAACTTTTATATAGTTAACTGTGAACAATTAAAAAAATCATAAAAGAAAAGCTATAATTAAATAAAACATAATATGAAACAAAAAAAAACATGATGTGAGAAAATTAAAAAATGATTTTAGGACTTTTAGGGGTGCTAAATCCAACAAGTTTGATTAGAAAAATTTAGAATTTGAACAATTTTTTAAAATGTTTTGATAGTTTTTAAAGCCAATTTACTAATCACCCTGTAAAGCAATTGAAACAATTTGTGTCGGACAAAGTTACCAAGACTCTTCTTCATGTGAATCCAGAAAAATATCTCTGTTGAGATGATAGATGTATCGGTAGAAGTAAAGCATACTACAACTTGTCTTACAATATCTTTGTAGCAGTTTGTCGTATTTGGTGCAAAAAAGACGAAGAATCACTTTTTTAGGAAAGTGTAGTGAATATTGATTCAGACATATAAGGTAAGGATTTGTACCAAATAAAATGTCTTCCATATGATGTAATTTTTAGTAATGAAAG